TCACCTCAGCCTTCCAAGAAGCAAGGACTACAGGCATGCACCACTACACCTGACTAATTTTTTTTTATTTTTTGTACAGACTGAGTCTCACTGTGTTGCTGAGGCTGGTCTTGAACTCCTGGTTTCAAGTGATCCTCCCGCCTTGGCCTCCTAAAGTGCTGGGATTACAGGCGTGAGCCACCACATCTGACCTCAGAGAGGGCTGATTTTTGAATCAGCCATTCTAAAACAGTGGACCTAGAAAGAAGAAATCTTCTACCAGTAGCCTTCTTTCTAGATACCAATCCAACAGGCCAGAAGAAATTTGGGGTCTCATAATCTGATACCAGTATTTTCTCCTCAGTAGTGAAAAGAGGTGAATTAATGCATTCACTCTAAGCTTGTTTTTGGGAAATGATGATGTAATAGTTAAAGAGAGTAGACAAAGGTTAAAGTAATAAGAAATGCTGAACTTCCAAAAAAGCTGGCCTTAATATTCTCCATCAACTGGCAGTGTTCCCAGTGATGCTTCTATCACAGACTGTGATAGAACTGGCATACATAATAATCCTTTCTTCTTCAATAATATAGTAAGACATCACATCCATATATTTCCCAAATAGGACTGCCACTGCCTATCTAGTTAAGGAGTTATCATTCTACTGTTTCTCTTGAGAAATGACACTAAGGCAAAACACTTTTGTTTTTAAGGGGTTCTATTGGCCACTTAAAATACCCTTGATATATGACCAGAAGTCATTGAATTAACTAAAAACAAATAGTTGTGAATTACATAGAGGGCTTCTCTCAGCCACATGCTTCTCATAGATAATGTAATAAAGATCATTGATAAATAATAAAAAGTTGCATTTCTCACATGGGAGAGGTCCCATAATACAGCTCATTCGAACGCTGAGGGAGTGGTGCCCTCTAGCAGTGCATGTGAGAAATATTATCATATAAGTATATTAAATATAGCAAATAAGGATCTCCCACTATCTCTGCTACTCTCAGACATAAGGGGTAATTTGACAGTTGGTTTTGTCTTTTCCGAGCTACTAGAAACCTACTGAAGTTTCACTTCCATGTGCACTAATTTTTTAAGTGCCAGCAAAGGTTAGATTCTAATAGTGCCCTTTTGGGGACTTTACCAATAACTTTTAAAATGTCATTATCTGTGAATGTCACATAAAACAGGTCCCTTTCTCTTTTCTTTCAGACCTGCCTTAGATCAGTGTTTGGGGATGAGAATAAAGGGTACAAATAGGAAAAAACATCCTCCTACAAGCTGAACAGCATCTCAGGTGCAAAAGATGGTCACAAAATGGGAGAATGTTAAGAAATCGATTAATGGCTCAAGTATTCAAAAACTGATGAAGTTCTGACTCTTTTCCCTTAAAAGCACTGCAGTTTATGGTTACAACTGATAGATTTGCAGGGTTCGATAACTTCAGAAGCTAATTAAGTAAACTGAGTAAACAAAAGAAAGGAACTTGATTTTTTTTTTTTTTTTTTTTTTGAGATGGAGTCTAGCTCTGTCCCACAGGCTGGAGCACAGTGGCACGATCTTGGCTCACTGCAACCTCCGCCTTCCAGGTTCAAGTGATTCTCATGCCTCAGCCTCCCCATTAGCTGGGATTACAGACGTACAACACCACGCCCGGCTAATTTTTGTATTTTTAGTAGAGACGGGGTTTTTTTTGTTTTGTTTTTGTTTTTGTTTTTGTTTTTGTTTTTTTGTTTTTGTTTTGGGAGGGGGGGACGGAGTCTCGCTCTGTCACCCAGACTGGAGTGCAGAGGCGCAATCTCGGCTCACTGCAAGCTCCGCCTCCTGGGTTCACGCCATTCTCCTGCCACAGCCTCTCCAGTAGCTGGGACTACTGGCGCCCGCCAGCACACCCGGCTAATTTTTTGTATTTTTAGTAGAGACGAGGTTTCACCGTGTTAGCCAGGGTGGTCTCGATCTTCTGACCTCGTGATCCTCCCGCCTCGGCCTCCCAAAGTGCTGGAATTACAGGCGTGAGCCACTGCGCCCGGCCTGAGACAGGGTTTCGCCATGTTCGCCAGGCTGGTCTCGAACTGCTGACCTCGTGATCTGCCCACGTCACCCTCCCAAAGTGCTGAGATTACAGACATGAGCCATCCTGCCCGGCCTTGAATTTTTAATTCCATTTTAATTAGTGAAAGAAGTTTGAGCCAGTCTTATCTCTAAGATATTCAAAAGATTATATGGCACACAAATAGTACATTACAAATGCTTTTGAAACTGAAAGGTGTGTTTTCTGGTTTCTGTCTATCTGATATGCTGTTTCAAATCCTGTAAAAGCAAAATATAGTTTTTTGACAAATATGCCCATGTGTTGTGCACAGTTTGATTTATGTAAACTCATTTCAAATGCAACTGCAGAATTCCTCCTGAATGGATGAAAAATGTCTGCCTAAAGTGATAAAAATATATGTGTGTAGAAAGATATAGTTTTAAGAAGGGATTTTTATGAGATACAGATTTGTAACTCAATTTCCTTTAAATATTCCTTTAAAATATTCTTAAAAAAAAAAAAAACTTCAAGAATACCTGACTTTTTGTTTGTTTGTTTGTTTGTTTTTTACATTTTTGTGTCAGTTCAGGGGTTTGCATTGAGTTTGCTCTGCTGAAACACTTTTCTGTGACTTAGCTTATGTGGGATTGGTAAGTAGGGGAGTGATGTCAGTGTAACATAGACCCTGGATTTGTTCAGGTATTTTACTAAGTAGCAGCAACGAAACACAAAGCCCACAAACACAGATTAACACAGCTAGCCAAGGGAAAATACCTACTGCATGTGATTCCCATTCATGCCACATTCTTCCTCTTGGCACAGTGTGGCCACGTACTCTTACATGGCAGTGCTTATTGCGTAATTCTCAGTCTTTCTATTTGCACTTATTCCATAGCTTAGCAATCTCAACTCTTCTTTCTTCCATCAAGCCACCTTCTCATGCATGTGCACACACACATACACACACTGCATTTTTTGTAGTAGTTATTATGAATTTAACTTATCTTTTAAATCATGTTTATATTTAATTATGCTTGATAATTACTAGGATGGTTATTGTTTTTGCAGTGTTCTCGTTACATAAATATTGAGTAGGTATGTCCTGACCCTGTCTTCTTCATAAACCCTACAATTTTTATTACATGATTTTGCAGACCACACAAGAAATACATTTATCTTATTGCAGCAAAAACATTTGTACATCTGTACTTGCCCTCTACTTATTAATTGCAATTATTATATTTGAATTACTCCCAGAATTATAGACTTCCCTCATAAATCTGAGGTAAACAGATTGAGATATCAATTGCCTACAAGATTCATTTTTAAAATTTTACCTTCCCGTGAGAATACCAGCCCCAGGTGTACATTGCATGGCCCCGTTAGAAAGTAACCTTTCCATCTTTATTTGTTTCTGGGCAGTTACCGAAAGTATTTCCACAACAAAAGAATGTAATCAAGATTTAATTTGCTTCCACTGAAGTTTATTTTCATTTTTAAAAATCATTAGCCTATGATTTAGGAATTTTTAAGAAATTGGCCCTCATTACCCCCCAAGCCCCCGCATTCACCTAATACACGCTCCCAGTCCTCCTTTAAGTAATTTGTGGTTTATATTTAAATTTTACATTTAACATGGTCTTAAGTATTAAATTCCACCAGGTCAGACTGCAGTGAGTCAGGGTTTTAAAATATGGTAAGATTCCAAGAAATGAATCCTTCCATTCTAAAATCTCTTCTTGCACATTAATTCAGTTAACTCAGAAGAAAATAGATATTTTCCAGGAAAAAATGTCTTTTATTTTACTTTTGTGAGAATACAAATATGTGTCTTTTGTTTTAGGAAAGAAAGAATTCTCTAATAGTATTTCCATATAACTATGTTACTGGTGTTAGCATGAGTGAATTTTTTAGAACACTAGTGGTAAGCATATAATAGAGCTTTCTCAACACCTACACTCCAAAAGCAAGTCACAGCTTCTCCTAAATGAGCCAAGTACTTGCAGTGAAAAGCTAAACAAAGCCTTGTTTTTAAGGAGAAGCTTACAGAGGGTGACAATATAGAGAGTTCAGCATGTTCTCTAATGGAGATATATATGAACAGAGTACCATGGGACAAAGCAGAGGTGGTGACCATATCAGAGAGGGAAAGCTTTAACCTACACAATTAAAAAAATATATTCTTATGGAGTTCCTAATTTTGTTTCTTTCTCTTTCAATTTTCTGAAATTTTAAAATGTTTATTCACTTGAACATACAATAATTTTCTTTAAAAGAATCCCTCCACAGGCAGATGAGAATATTCTGTGTCTTGATCTTCATGGTGGTGTATATCAGATTCATCAAACTGTACACACACAAATGGTACACTGTACCAAATACAAATTATAATAATAGATCCATCAAAACATACAGTGTTCCATACTTTAAAAAAATTAGCTTCCTTCCTTTGATGATCAAGGTGGCAATAAGTGTATTAGAGAAAGAAAAAGATGTCAGGCGCTGTGGCTCATGCCTGTAATCCCAGCACTTTGGGAGGCCAAGGCAGGCGGATCATGAGGTCAAGAGATCAAGACCATCCTGGCCAACATAGTGAAAGCCCATCTCTACTAAAATACAAAAATTAGCTGGGCATGGTGGTGCGTGAGTGTAGTCCCAGCTACTCGGGAGGTTGAGGCAGGAGAATCACTTGAACC